TCCAACACTATAAAGCTGGAAATCTTTTACACGCTCCTAGATGTTCACATAATCTAATGTCAGATGGAGCTCAAGGAAGTCATCAGAGTATATTAGGCATGGCAGATTCGGAAGCACCATTCAGGCCGCAAACATACCCATTTGAGATGATGGTATGATATGATTATTACGTCAGTTGGCATTATGAATTTATGATTGCATTTGTGGCATCTAACATAAAGAGAGACAACCTCATTTCATTGGGGACCCAAATCGGGAAATTCACAAAAGGAGAAAAATTTCACCTGACAATCCAGTCCCTGAATTTGCTGGCAGCACATGCAAAACACAAAGAATGGCTACAACCAACGTCGGAGATGAGCTTTCTGTATGGGAAAAACGTGTTGAAAGGTGGTGTCGGCAATATAACAGAGAATGTGAATTTGCATGATGGGGTCGTGGTGTTCTCGATGTCAGATGTGTCTCTGGGGTTTGGAGTTGCTGCTAAGAGCACACATGATTGTAGGAAGCTAGATCCTAATACTAACGTGGTTTTGCACCAAGCTGATATTGGGGAATACTTGAGGATGGAGGATGAACTTTAAACCGGGAAAATTATTGTATCTTTTAATGATTTTTGTTTGGGGAGTTCACTTTTCAGTGTGAGTGTATATTGATTTTGGCAAATGATATTCTGGCTTATTATATCTGATTTTCTAGGTCCTTTCTGGCACATTACATGCATTTGCTGAAATGTAATGAAATGTTCGCTTCTCCACATGGAAATCTGTTTGGAGCATTTTTGGTTAAAAAAAAGATATAGACGAACAAAGTTTCTTTTATACGTATAAATAAAATAAATGTCTATTAATGGGTTCTTTTACTATTACTTCTAATGTTTCTAATCCAGACTTTCTCATTTATCACAAATAATGTTGTAATAGTGATTAATATCTAATATTATACCATTAATATTGTAATATTTTTATATCATTTATATACTCCTGTATATAATTTTAATTTATGTTAGATTTTGCAAATGCACGAATGCGCAAATTGAATTTATATCATTTATATACTCCTGTATCATCGATATCTAATATTATACCACTAATGTTTCTAATTTTATTAATGGAAATCGGTCAAGGTTTTATATGTTGTTTTCGAGAAGGTGTATATTAATTTGTAATTTTTACTTTCATTTATTTGGGTAAAAAACGTATATGTGTTGTTTTATCTATATATCATAACATTTCTTTGTGTTATGAATTTTATTCAATGCTTACTAATTGCAACGCACGGGTGAACAAATGTAGGACCAATTTTTCTTATTTTGGAGCTTAGCTTGATTCCATCCGACCTAAAGCTGTCGTTCACATTTTAGCGTAGACAATTTCCTTTGATGCTTAGTTGCGCAATGACCATTAATAAGAGTCAGAGACAGTCATTGGAGAGGGTTGGTGTCTTACGTTGTTCGGTTTTCACCCATGGACAATTTTTACGTTGCGGTCTCAAGAGTAACGTCCACGTCTGGGTTGAAGTTTGTTATATTTGATGATGACGGAAAATCGACCAAGAAGACTATAAATGTTGTTTACAAGAAAATATGTAATAATTTTTTTATTTTATTTTTTATCTTCATTTACTTTTATTAGAAACATTATATTCCCAAATAATTTATTGCTTATTAATTGCATCTCGTGCAAAGCACGGGTGAAAAGCTAGTACTCTTAATAAATTTGCATGCACCTAATTTATTATATGTCATTTCATATTGTATGGAGCATAAGTTTTGGGATGTTACAATTCTTCCCCTCTAAAAAGAAATCTCGTCCTCGAAATTTACCTTGATTAAATATTTGTGAGCTTCAGTACCTAATTAACTATTTACTTTTTTTAACCTCTTCAGGACTGCGACATATATTACACAAACACTTTGATTAATGTCATACTCCGTATTTTAATTGCTTAATTCTTATGCTGCATGATCTCAATTCACTACCATCCAGCTTTTTGTGTCTTTCTTAAATCTTATTACATGTTTTTTTTTTCTAAAAAAAACTATGATATTTGTATCTCCATTTTGGTAAGAATTTAATAGACAATAATTAAAACCATATTTTTTCGTGTCTCACTAAACGATTTGTATTCCACACAGAAACATTCAACATGCAAATGTGTAAGTACTTTTTAATATCTAGTTAGTAATTATGTTGTTCTTCATATACAACACTCATATATTTGTTTGCAGTTAACCTTATGATTCCGGAAAATCTCTATGTCAACTGTGATAAAACTTGCTATGTTGATCCAGTAGATAAACATCTCCCGTGTGAAGGTGCAGTTCCGTTGGGGCAAATTTGTATACCCACATGCATTAAGCAATTTGGACCAGGTTCATCTGGAACGTGTTCATGGGATACTCCTGACAAACACTGTCGATGTTATTATGTAGCACCTGCATGCCCTTAATTTTTTCTTTATAAGCAATTGTAATAATGTACCCACATTCCATTTTGTTAGTTTAGTTATAAAAAGGAAAGTTCGTTTTCTCATTGTCGTCAATGATAAAAGGTGTGTGTTATGAATTATTAGTTCATCTCGAATGTGTTCATGAGATATTCTCGACAAACATTGTCTGTTGCTGTTATAATGTAGCACCTACATGTCATTAATGTCTCTGTACAACGAAATTGCTAGAATGTATACGCATGGCATTTGGCCTGTTTAGTTATCCAAGAGACTATTTTTGGTCACTTTATCATCTATGATAATACATAGTTGTGTTCCGAATAACTTTATCTTACCATTTTATTTAAATAAGTGTTAGCAAGCAAATGTTTCCAACCAAATAAACAACTTCACATTGTAATGAGTATGCATCGTTACACATTGGAATCCTAATTCTTTATTGCACCTTGGTGCACAACCACTCCTAACCTCCAATCCCCATAGTCGGTGTACACTTTGGTTCATATCCCATTTGTTCATATGGATAACAAATACGACTGAATATATGTTCACCCACAACTTGCTAGTATTGACAACGTGTTATTCTTTTCATTGTGTTTCCACTTGTTGGTAGAAAAAATATGGGAGGCGATCGATAAACGTATAGAAATCGACTTGTCATTTGCCAATGCCTGCAATATGATGTTATATAAGATCTTATAACATTACACTAAGCTTTCCATTGGCACAGAGGGGTGTGGAATAATCTTATTAGGATTTCAACACCTTTAATTTTAGGGAAAAGGTGCAAATAGGCCCATGTACTAACAAAAAAAGGTCAAATAAGCCCTTATTTAGGAGGCTCTGTCTGACCGTCGTCATTTGGGGTGGTTCTCGGTGGAATTTTTTGATGAAATTTTTTAAGCATCTTATTCATCAAGTCTAGTTTACTCATACCGAATTGCAGCTAAAACTTCAATCGGGAAGGCATTCAAATGAATTCTTGAAGATAATTGCGCTTCTAACTGCGCAGTTATTTTCACGAATTCATTTGAATGTCTTCCCGATTGAAGTTTTAGCTGCAATTTGGTATGAGTAAACTAGATTTCATGAATAAGATGCTCAAAAAAATTCATCAAAAAATTTCACCGGGAACCACCCCAAATGACAACGTCCGGAGAGAACCTCCTAAATAAGGGCTTATTTGACCTTTTTTTGTTAGTACATGGGCCTATTTGCACCTTTTCCCTTAATTTTATGTCCGTAGATCATTATTCATTTAAATTGAATACCGTTTAAGAATAAGATACCACTCACTTAGGATATAAAGTCATACATAGTTCTATACCGAACACATGCGTTTATTCATTTAAATCTTGATCAAATTTGCAACACTATTAGATCATTCAAACGTTTAGATGTTATGGATCGGATCGTAGTTGTAGACCTTGAGAATCATTGAAGTGCATGATTTGAATTACTTTTCTCGAGTGGAATTCATATTTCAACTTTAGTTATTTTTTACTACCTTCATCCTAGCTTAAGTTTCTTATATAAAATGGCACAATTATTTGGACAATATTAAAATGAGTTTATTTGAGTAAATTTTTAGAAGTGGTTTTGATAGGTATATCATTTAATGAGGTCATTGATGATAAATGTGATGTTATAGGTGTATTGTTTTCAATATTCGGTGATTAACTTGTCATTTAGAATGCTAATTATTTCTTAGAATATAAATGAGACGCTTGAACTAAAACATCCATTGAGGAATGTGAGAAGTTTAGGCCAGGACGAAGCGAGTATCTACACATAAATACACTCGTGTGTGGTATACTATATGTATAAAAGATAAGAAATTAACTCACTCTAAACTAGAAACCTTTTCTTGAAGAAATATCCTAGAAATGGTGTGTAGAGGTTTCATCACTAAACTAGGTTTAACAGTACACCTATTACTATCATGTTATTTAAGAAAATTATATCTTGACTCCTACGTTACGATGATGATCTTCTCCAAAAAAAAAACATATTTAGTTCGATGTCAATCATTTTATAAGGTTAAATGTTTTGATGAACCTCATTCTTCATTTCTTAAGAAAAGATATGATAAATTAAAAGTTGTGCATCACACCCTGTTTTGCGTAAATAATACTCTCTCCATTCCATTTTGGATGTCCAACTTTCCTTTTTGGGTTGTTCCAAAATGAATGTCATGTTTCCCTTTTTAGCAAGAAATATGTGGTTTTTATCATTTCACTTTATTCTACTCCTATCTCAACCATAACATTTATTTTTCAACCACTTTATTAATAATCGTGCCAAATTAACACAGGACAACCAATATGAAACAGAGGTAGTGGTATATCAAATTGCTAAATGTTGAAAGTTTGGTATAAAAAAAATATCATGCTCAACCATCGATCGTTAGAAAATATCCAATCGTTATTATGTGAAATTAATTGAATAATCTAAAATAGGTAACTCATAACTCATAGAAATCTTGTGCATGTATGTAATGTGTATTACCACCTCTATAAAAGCGCTTGCAGTGCAACAAATTCTACGAAGAACAAGACATTTAACAGTTGACAAGATGGTGCAGCTTCCAAAAAGCATTTACTTGGCTCTCCTAATCACTCTTGCTACAGGTATATCTATATTCTATAGCTTATGTTTTATTCATGAGGTAGCGCCAAATATGTAACTTTGAGTGGAATGAAAAATCAATAAAGCACATAAGAAACACACAAATTTGTATATGATAGAGTTTGAAATTTATTTAAAAATATATAGATATGCTTAAGAAATTTTATTTCTTTACAAAACCTGTTGGGGTGTACTAAAATATCAGAATGATTTATAAGCTAGAAAATGAAAAACCAGTACACATAGTATATTATATGGATCTCTTATTACATATATGTGATAGAACAATGATATTTGTATCTCCATTTTGGTAAGAATTTAATAGACAATAATTAAAACCATATTTATTCGTGTCTGACTAAACGAATTGTATTCCACACAGAAACATTCAGCATGCAAATGTGTCAGTAGTTTTTAATAGATAGTTACTAATATTTATGTTGTTCTTCATATACAACACTCATATATTTGTTTGCAGTTAACCTTATGATTCCGGAAAATCTCTATGTCAACGGTGATAAAACTTGCTATGTTGATCCGGTAGATAAACATCTCCCATGTGAAGGTGCAGTTCCGTTGGGGCAAATTTGTATACCCACATGTATTAAGCAATTTGGACCAGGTTCATCTGGAACGTGTTCATGGGATACTCCTGACAAACACTGTCGCTGTTATTATGTAGCACCTACATGCCCTTAATTTTTCAATATAAGCAATTGTAATAATGTACCCACATTCCATTTTATTAGTTTAGTTATAAAAAGGAAACTTTGTTTTCCCATTGTCGCCAATGATAAAAGGTGTGTTATGAATTATTAGTTCATCTCGAGTGTGTTCATGAGATATTCTCGACAACCATTGTACGTTGCTGTTATAATGTAGCACCTACATGTCCTTAATGTCTCTGTGCAAGGAAATTGCTAGAATGTATACGCATGGCATTTCGCTTGTTTAGTTATCCAAGAGACTATTTTTGGTCACTTTATCATCTATGATAATACATAGTTGTGTTCCGAATAAGTTTCTTTTACCATTTTATTTAATAAGTGTTAGCAAGAAAATGTTTCCAACCAAATAAACAACTTCACATTGTAATGAGTATGCATCGTTACACATTGGAATCCTAATTCTCTATTGCACCATGGTGCACAACCACTCCTAACCTCCAATCCCCATAGTCGATGTACACTTTGGTTCATATCCCATTTTGTACTTCTGAATCTCCCATTTGTTCATAAGGATAACAAATACGACTGAATATATGCTCACCCACAACTTGCTAGTTTTGACAACGTCTTATTTTTTTCATTGCGTTTCCACTGGTTGGTAGAAAAAATCTGGGAGGCGATCGATAAATGTATACAAATCGACTTGTCATTTGCCAATGGCTGCAATTTGATGTTATATAAGATAATATAACATCACACTAAGCTTTCCATTGGCATAGAGGGGTGTGGAATAATCTTATTAGGATTTCAACACCTTTAGTTCTATGTCCGTAGATCATTATTCATTTAAATGGAATACCGTTCAAGAATAAGATACCACTCGCTTAGATCATTCAAACGTTTAGATGTTATGGATCGGATCGTAGTTGTAGACCTTGAGTATCATTGAAGAGCATGATTGAATTACTTTTCTCAAGTGGAATTCATATTTCAACTTTAATTAGTTATTTTTTACTACCTTCATCCTAGCTTAAGTTTCTTATATAAAATGGCACAATTATTTGGACAATATTAAAATAAGATGATTTCAGTACATTTTTAGAAGTGGTTTTGATGGGTATATCATGTAATGAGGTCATTGATGATAAATGTGATGTTATGGGTGTATTGTGTTCAATATTCGGTGATTAACTTGTCATTTAGAATGCTAATTATTTCTTAAAATATAAATGAGACGCTTGAACTAAAACATCCATTGAGGAATGTGAGAAGTTTAGGCTGGGACGAAGCGAGTATCTACACATAAATACACTCGTGTGTGGTATACTATATGTATAAAAGATAAGAAATTAACTCACTCTAAACTAGAAACCTTTTCTTGAAGAAATATCCTAGAAATGGTGTGTAGAGGTTTCATCACTAAACTAGGTTTAACAGTACACCTATTACTATCATGTTATTTAAGAAAATTATATCTCGACTCCTACGTTACGATGATGATCTTCTCCTAAAAAAACATACGTAGTTCGATGTCAAACGTTTTATAAGGTTAAATGCTTTAATGAACTGCATTTTTTATTTCTTAAGAAAAAATATGATAAATTAAAAGTTGTGCATGAGTGCATCACACCCTATTTTACGTAAATAATACTCTCTCCTTTCCATTTTGGTTGTCCTACTTTTCTTTTTGGGTTGTCCCAAAATGAATGTCATGTTTCCCTTTTTGGCAAGAAATATGTGGTCTTTATCATTTCACTTTATTCTACTCCAATCTAGACCATAACATTTACTTTTCAGCCACTTTATTAATAATCGTGTTAAATTAACACATGACAAACAATATGAAACAGAGATAGTGGTATATCAAATTGCCAAATGTTGAAAGTTTGGTTTTAAAAAATATCATGCTCAACCATTGATCGTTAGAAAATATCCAATCGTTATTATGTGAAATTAATTGAATAAGCTAAAAGAGGTAACTCATAACTCATAGAAAGCTTATGCATGTATGTAATGTGTATTACCACCTGTATAAAAGCGCTTGTAGTGCAACAAATTCTACGAAGAACAAAACATTTAACAGTTGACAAGATGGTGCAGTTTCCAAAAAGCATTTACTTGGCTCTCCTAATCACTCTTGCTATAGGTATATCTACAATATATTCTATAACTTATGTTTTGTTCATGAGGTAGCGCCAAATATGTAACTTTGAGTGGAATGGAAAATCAATAAAGAACATAAAAAACACACAAATTTGTATCCAAAAGAATTTGAAATTTATTTAAAAATATATAGATATGCTTAAGGAATTTTATTTCTTTACAAAACCTGTTAGTGTGTACTAAAATATCAGAATGATTTATAAGCTAGAAAATGAAAAATCAGTACACAAAGTATATTATATGGATCTCATAAAACCATATTTATTCGTGTCTCACTAAACGAATTGTATTCCACATAGAAACATTCAGCATGCAAATGTGTCGGTACTTTTTAATATCTAGTTAGTAATTATGTTTTTCTTCATATACGACACTCATATATTTGTTTGCAGTTAACCTTATGATTCTGGAAAATCTCTATGTCAACGGTGATAAAACTTGATATGTTGATCCGATAGATAAACATCTCCCGTGTGAAGGTGCAGTTCCGTTGGGGCAAATTTGTATACCCACATGTATTAAGCAATTTGGACCAGGTTCATCTGGAACGTGTTCATGGGATACTCCTGACAAACATTGTCATTGTCATTATGTAGCACCTACATGCCCTTAATTTTTCTTTATAAGCAATTGTAATAATGTACCCACATTCCATTTTTGTTAGTTTAGTTATAAAAAGGAAACTTTGTTTTCCCATTGTCGCCAATGATAAAGGTGTGTGTTATGCATTATTGGTTCATCTCGAATGTGTTCATGAGATATTCTCTACAAACATTGTACGTTGTTATTATAATGTAGCACCTACATTTCCTTAATGTCTCAATGCAAGGAAATTGCTAGAATGTATACGCATGGCTTTTGGCTTGTTTAGTTATCATATAGACTATTTTTGGTCACTTTATCATCTATGATAATACATAGTTGTGCTCCGAATAAGTTTCTCTTACCAAATAAACAACTTCACATTGTAATGAGTGTGCATCGTTACACATTGGAATCCTAATTCTCTATTGCACCTTGGTGCACAACCACTCCTAACCTCCAGTCCCCATAGTCGGTGTACACTTTGGTTCATATCCCATTTTGTACTTCTGAATCTCCCATTTGTTCATAAGGATAACAAATACGACTAAATATATGCTCACTCACAACTTGCTAGTTTTGACAACGTCTTATATTTTTCAATGTGTTTCTACTGGTTGGTAGAAACAATCTGGGAGGCGATCGATAAACGTATACAAATCGACTTATCATTAGCCAATGACCGCAATATGATGTTATATAAGATCTTATAACATCACACTAATCTTGCTATTGGCATAGAGGGGTGTGGAATAATCTTATTAGGATTTCAACACCTTTAGTTCTATGTCCGTAGATCATTATTCATTTAAATGGAATACCGTTCAAGAATAAGATACCACTCGCTTAGGATATAAAGTCATACATAGTTCTATTTCGAACACCTGCGTTTACTCATCTAGATCTTGATTAAATTCGCAACACTATTAGATCATTCAAACGTTTAGATGTTATGGATCGGATCGTAGTTATAGACCTTGAGTATCATTATTGAAGAGCATGATTTGAATTACTTTTCTCAAGTGGAATTCATATTTCAACTTTAGTTATTTTTTACTACCTTCATCCTAGCTTAAGTTTCTTATTGAAATTGGCACAATTATTTGGACAATATTAAAATAAGTTTATTTGAGTACATTTTTAGAAGTGGATTTGATGGGTATATGATGGTCCCGGATAGAGGTAAAAGTCTAGAGGGGGGGGTGAATAGACTTTTAAAATCTTTTTCAACTTTGTGAAGTTTTCCCTCTAGAAGAGTTGATCTATAATCTTTTAAGAGATTAATAGATGCACAGCGGAAGTCTTTAACCTCTTTATACTTGGTGTGAGACAACTTTCTAGTTTAGATGATGTTTAGACTGGTGACAAGAGGAAGTAGGCTTGGCAGTAGACTGGTGAGCAGATAACTGCTTAGTCTACTGCTGCACAGGCAGTTTGCTGACTGGCAGGCAACTGCTGAATTGGCAGTTGGCTGGTGGGCAGGTTACTGCTGAGGCAACTGTTAAGAACAGGATGACTTTTGGATGGCTTTTTGTTCTGGCTTGTTATGGCGTTCGGAAAGACACATATAAATGGGCAGTGGGCTCAGCAGGAGGGTGAAGACCAGGGTACTGCTGAGGCACCTTCTGAGTGTAAGATAACTTCTAGTGGAAAATACTCTCAAGGAGAGTGAGCTATTAAGCAGTAGGCTAAGCAGTACAGTCGATGAAGACTACTGCTTAGGATGCTGCTGGCAAACTACAATCCTTTAGTGAGATGTGTTTGGTGTGTGCTTCTGTATGTATGAAAGTAAATCAACACACGATATATCCTGGTTCAGAGGTGGTGTAATCCTCCTACATCCAGTCCCACCCTATTTCAGATGGATTTCCACTAAAGTATTCAGCCCAATACAATTAGTGCCAATCTAGCCTTGACAACTCTGGCCTAGATTGAAGGTTTTTCACGATGAGTATAACACCACTCAAAGTTACTCAGTCCTTAGACTTTTCTCGATTGATCCAGTGGGGATCAAAAGGTACTCTATCTATCTAACCACACTTTAGGATCCGAACAACTGTTCTCCTAAGTGTTTACAACAACATGAATTGATTCACGAAGTGTCTAACCTCCAACTAAAACCTAAGCTCTATAAATGTTACAATGAATGATCTAGTCTAAGAGCTTAGTGAAGCATGAGTCAAAGCAGAGTGTTCAAGCACTTTTTCTTTTGCTGGATATGCGTAGTGTAATGACTGAACCACTTGCTTTGAACTCAATGACTTGCCTTTGATCTCATGCTTCTGCCTATTTTTATAGGCATCTCCAGTAGATTAATCTCCTCCGTTGGTTAAGAGGATTTAATCCTAGACGTCCAAAGTATTGTACTTGCGTCTTCTTGTGTTGGAGCAGGATAAGGATTTGTCTTTTGAAGACCACTTGCTTTGTACGAAGATAACACTCATACTTTAGGCCTTCTTGTCGCTGCAT